CCAGTCTCTGAGGCCGAGGAATTTTACAATCAGTTCATTTCAAGTGTCATCGATCACTTATGTGACGGTGATTTCAACAGATGTGACATCACTTTTCTCACAGACCTTGGGCTGCAAAATCTTGTGAACTCCCCCACCAGAATTGAAGCAAATATAGACCTTATATTTGTTAACAATATGAAGCTGTTTTGTTTGCAAGCAGGCATTGATTGGTAGTTTTCATCACTAAAATATCAAGTCGTCTCCTATCGCGTAAAGCAAAATAAACCATAGTGATATTACTTGTGTAAAGATCGCAGGCTTAAAAGAAGACAATGTTCACCTGAGAACATATTGCGCTTCCAGGAAATGCTTTCATCCATAGATTTTAGTATATTTTTTAACAACGATGTATCCAAATACTGCGACCAGTTAACCAGTTAACATCAACTTCTGCTATTATACCTGCTGTCCACTGGAAACCATTTTTATCCATGCGCATCGCTTTTCATCTCCATGGCTAAAAGGCTTGCGTAGACTCGAAGAGAAAGTGTTCAGAACGAAAGATCACGCTGCAATGAGATCTTTTACTATTTCTACCAATACTGAGTTGCGCCATCGGAACCACCTATATATCCAGACCATATTGGGAAATAGAAGCTGCCGGGATGTTTGACATATGCTGAAGCAACTTAGTGGCGTCTCTAACCGCGTTTCAAATCCATATGCAGACCTGGAAGAACTGATCCGAAATCTCTGTTGCTTCAATGCTAACTCTACATCTCACCCTTCTCCACGATTGGATCGGTCCGCAAACTCCTTCCCTGATATTGACAGAAATACAGTGCGTAATAAACTACTACAGCTAAACTCCAACAAAGCAACTGCTCCGGATGATGGACTATCACCCGTTGTCCTCAAAGTGTGTGCCCACTCCTTGGCCCAGCCTCTTGCTGACCTATACACGTTGTGCATGAAAGAGTGTAATATTGCTGACGGCTGGAGAAGTGTCAGAATTACATAGGTGTCAAAGAAAGGCTCAGATAAATACCGACCAATTACATGTACCTCGGTAAACTTGAAGAAATTCGAGAAGATTATTCATGAAAAGTTGCTGAATCAGACTCATTCAGATGATCCGCGACAGTTTACCTATAGTAGTTGGAGGTCTACTCAAGACGCATTAGCCTTTCTTGTACATTCAGTGCTGTCGTCACTAGACAGTCGAATGTACAGATAGTTGCTATTTACTTCTCCACCAGGTCGGAGGAACACGAGAAGGATAGTGATGAGGTATTGATCCTAGATGCAGTTCACAAACGACAACAAAACAAATACATAAGCGCCCATTGTTGATTTCGTGATGGTCCCTAATCTCCAGAACGGTTAGTGATACATGTTTGCTAAACTATCTGCAGCAGTGATCATGAGCACTCACAAGGAGCTTGAGCCCAAGGAAACACTCTTAATGACTGACGCTGTGCCGAGCACAGCTCTCATCACATTAGCGGTATTCCGTGTAAACTCAAGCGAATAAGTATCGGAAGTAGGCGGTATCCACTGAAACTCTTTCAACGAACATGTATTTTACCTAAAAATTGAGCGAAACGCGCTAACCGTATGTGCGTGAGTTAAAGGTCATCGCCCGTTCCTTAATGAAACCAGATAGTGAACACCACACAGTGAAGCGGCATGTGCGTCCCGCCTTCTCTAGCCAAGCTCAATAAGCCCCAGGAGCTAGTAATCGACCTGAGCTCAACTTAACGATAAGCAACTCAGCGGTACTCGCTTCGAGTTTACCGGACCTAACATAATACACCTCTCAACGTCGGGCAAAATTCAGTCATTTGGAATTAGAGCAAATGTAGGATAATATGTGTAATACACGTTGTCAAACTCAGCACCAATGTGAGCAAATCGAGACTGTTGTTCCTTGCGACTCTCATCGAAGCTAATGTAGGACTCGCCAAGGGTCTTTCGTTCTTTTTAGAATCATGATGTGTTGCATGTGATTTAAAATGGCAGTTGTTAAATATATTTTGATGAAGATACGCGAAGTAGCAATTTATGTCCTTTTTTAACTGGAACGTCTCACAGTACAGTTCGCATCCGGATTGTCCATGGTCCCCGACATTGCTTAACCAAACTTGTTCACGGCTCGTAGTTGACTGCACAGAAGTCCACCACAGCGCATGATGTGTTGGAGCAGATATCAAGGTAAGCTGGGAGTAGGAAGTATTCCTTACATCCTTCACATCCATCTTCTCAACGGAATCGGTATCAACAGGTCAAGATACAAAGAAGAGAACCGGTAAGACCCTTCTAACTACCACCAGATTTGTCTGAGTTCAGTAATTTGTAGAGCCCTGAAAAGGCTTCTCAAACTTTCTCTACAGCGTCACTTTTAGGTCCTGTATCTGATATCGCTTGCCAAGCATGGATTCCAGATCGCCCACTCTTGCATTTTCAAACTGCTTGTCGCTAGAGGAAGATGGGTAAAAGCTTTAAACGTTAGTAAGCCTTAGGACATTATCTTCATCAAATGCAGTAAAACGTTTGATAAGGTACCACTTGAACGGCTCCTACTTAACCTCCGGGCCACTGTTGTTACGTGGGAACTCATCTCCTGGGTCATGGATTTCTTGCACTGTTGTTTAACAAGATTCGAATTGAATGAAGCTCTTTCCCAGCTTTTCCTGATGACTGGTAGCGTGCCACAAGGTTAAGTCCTGGGTCCTTAATTATTCAAAAGCTTCACCAATGACCTTCCGTCGCTGCTTCAGGTAGGGTTACTAATCTATGCTGAGGATCTAAAACTATGGTTAGAGGTTTCTGGTCTTGGAGCTGTCGACAGATTACAAGCAACACTTGACATCCTTAATGATTGGCCCATTGCCTGGGGTTTGACCATTAACCGTGAGAAGTGTTACGTATTCCCAGTCAGTACCCCTGAACTCTTCGGCACACTATCTTTTGCGATTGCCTGCTCATGAATGCCAATCTAGCGAAGGGCCTAGGCATTGTTGTGTCTCCCGATCTTTGAGGATAGTCGGTGCAACTGACGGGATGTTCAGTGCCATAAGATGAGCTTTCTCTCGATTGTCCCGGAGATCTTCGAACTCCTGTTTGTCTCGCATGTGAGGCCTATTCTTGAGTATGGCTTACAGGCTGTTTACCCCTCCACGAAGTTTGAATGCAACATGCTTGAAAGAATACGGAGGCGCAGTTCGAAATGGTTCTCGACGTTTCATAATATGTTCTACCCTTTCCGTCTACAAATGATGAATCTGATCTCTTTGGATTATCGTCGTCGCCGGGAGATCAGATTTACACCAAGTGTATTTCTAAGAGAGAATTGGGGACCGAGTTGCAACAATTCCTCCAGTTGGACACTGAAAGCTGGACGCAGGGACACTATTGGAAACTGTTTAAACCGAGGAGCCTCCACGTCTTTCCGGAAAGCACTCTACTTACTTGGGTGGTGAACGACAGTAACTTTCTGCAGGAGCATGTTGTCAACGTGTCCAGGGTGGAAAGTTTCAAGAGACTATTGGACATCCATTTGCTGTGTATGCCGGAATCGTCTTGCTTTCGTCGAATCCGTAACAATCTATTGAGTATGCCGTTTCTCAACGTCACGCATCGTCGCTGCTCTGACCGGGATGCGATGAAGCTGACAAGGGTTCACCCTTCTGTTTTCTACCATTCATCGATTCAACGGTACCTTCACAGACCAACAGGCACATCAATAATAGTCAACAGTTAACTGTACTATCTCTGCCTGTGACACATAGCCGCTCCTTCTAACGAAACTGCCAACACAGCATGGACGAGGTTCCGTTAAACTTAACATGTACGTAGGTCTGGAGGAAGACCAAGTAACACAGGAATGGCTTAGTTGCAATATTAACTCGGAAATACTGAGCCGTTCGCTCGTCCCAAACGTTGATGTTGACTTGCAGAAGAAAATTAAGTGGTTTTCCTGGCTAGATACTTGGAAAACAGTGGAAGTTGCAATCCGAGCAGCTACTTGTCAATTCACCTATCCGGAACTTCATCGCCTATCTTCATTTTGGCTACCTTTCTCTTTTACTCTTGCTTCGACTGTAAGACTCCTCAGCTTCCCACCCTAACATCAGTTCAACATAGGAAACCCAAATGCCTCTCTGGATGCAGCCTATATTTTCTTGCAACCATTACCAAGAGCCGGTAGAGACGTCCGCTCTTTGTCATAAAAGGCGCTGGTCTCGTAATACACAATGATAGGCAGCCAATGGCCGTTCCAGGGTGAGTAATTTTTCGTTGCATGTGCAGATGTATATTGCCCTCTTCGGCGTAAATCAATCGTAATGTAAACACATACAATCGGTAGGCCTTTGAGAGAATGCCTGAACCTGACACCAGTGAACTGGTCTACTTTTCCATAGTGAATCTAAGTCTTGTGGCTCCATTCTAGCACTCTCGTTGTTTGAATAGACTACTTTGCAATCTATTTGGAATTGAGCCTTGTTTAGTTTGATCACCGGTACATTATTGGAAACAATTAAACATTGGGTTGTAATCCATTCAGACAAGATATTTCGAAATAAACTCACAACAATACATCAGTTTTGGGACAAACCTCGCCCGTGGCTTGCTTGGCTCTGGTACGGAATTCTACTGATAAGCGCGTTCCTTGCCTCAGTTGACCTAAACGTACATGAATCGGCAAGTTTTCATGCATCATATTTTGTAACTATTTTCTAGTTACCATAGCAACCGAAAACTTTTGTTCAAGACGTTAATACAGTTACTTAAATTGCATAAACGAGGACTTTTGGTTGCTGGGTCGATAATCTCTATTGTCAAAAAGTACGTGATGTTCCAGGAAATTAAGCTTTTCTTTCCAGTGAAATGAGTACTGCCATGTTTTGCTTTACGGTTGAGCGTTAATAACAAAAGCCATTTAAACTACTATCCTGACCCCTTCTGTTTCCGCACACGAAATGTTCCGATTTATATACATAGTGTTTTGATTTTAGATGCAGAAACACGATCCCTTCCACAACCAACACTTGAGACAGAACTCCACGAAAATCCGATGCATGTACTTTACTGTCCGCCCCGACGTAGTGCTAAACCATCCAGTCGCACTCTTCAACGAACTAGATCAACAAAAGTTGATCCTCGATGGATTATGGAATCAAACGCCACGCTATCCACAGACGAGGGAGATTATTCCTCTTCGGATACCGCCACTCTTGAAGGACCGTCCTGTACAGTGGATAGATCAGAGCCAAAGGGTCGAAAGTTGTTGTTCCGAGTGGATCCACAACGCGGTACTGGGTTGGCTCTTGTCGGTGGAAATTTGTCTGGTGTGTTTATTTCAGGAGTCCTACCCGATTCGTTGGCCGACCAAGCGGGTGTCAGCGAAGGCGACCAAGTGAAACAGGTAAGAATTGTGTGAACTCACTTTGGTGCTCAGTGAATCTCTGCTATGACAGCTACCACATCTCCTATCTGACGCAACCAGACTGCGCAACTCAAATAGACGTCTCGAATCACTTGGATTATAGTCAATAGATAAAAATAATTGTTCGCGGTGACCTTCATCCATTACATGCTCATTGTGTGTGTGTGTGTGTGTGTGTGTGTGTGTGTGTGTGTGTGTGTGTGAATAAGGTAAGGTTTACCTTAATGTCGACGAGGAAGAATGTATACTTCAATGGGCTGAATACAAATGCACGCTGGTAAATGTATGTCAAATACTCCTTGACAAATGTGTAGGATAATGGGTTACACCTGAGTTTTTGCGCTGTAATGTAATCAATTTGAACTACCCGTAGGGTGGATAGAAATTGGGTACTGCCCACCCGAAAACACTGCACAGCCACGACGCGTTTCGATGTAATTTCATCTCATCAGGTGGAGACAGCAGGATTTGAGCCCACGACCATTGGAATAGCAGCCAACACTACTACCGCTTTGGCTACCGGGTCACGATGGGGTGTTACAATAAGGACCAGTTTGGACTCGACCAGTTTCGTCTGATTCACCATTGAACCATTGGACCATTGAACCATTCCTTCGATCGGTAACAAGCTCAGGGCTTTGATTCTATTCGGAATTTCCGTTCCACAAAATTTTAACTGGATATTATTACATTGATATTTCACAAGGCGTAAACATTAGCAGCACGGAAAATATCACAGTTGTTTACTATCTAAGCTATACAAACTGCTCTTCAAATTTCTACTTTATAGTTTGGCTTAGCTTATTTGGATCATTCCCAGTGGTTCGTGCTGCAACTTGGCCGAAATTTTATCATGCTAGCTATCAAGCTAGCTATCTTTATACTCGGTTGGCTTACTTCTTTTTACTAACCGTCTTATGGTTGGTCAGAAAGTTCATTAAAAACACCTAGGGTATCAGGTTTTTCATGACCGAAATGGGTAATGAAGAACCATTATGCCTTATCAGTACAGTATCCACACTTACAAACACCTATTCACAAGGAAAAAGTCGATCCGAGCCTACCAATCAGCGCCAGGTAACGCTGCTCCATGCGCTCTCTAAGATCATAAAAGGTCCTAGAAGCCATTGCGGGCGCACTGATGGGCTACCTTAAAAGCTATGATATGATTTGCCGGAGCAGTACAAGTTTTGTCAGTATCGACCATGTACCATGAACGTGTTGACAGCACGCGACAACTCGTATGAATCGGTCGACCTTGGTGAATACATGCTATTAGTACCCGATACACTAGCCTACCTACAGGTATCTGTTAACGACGGCTGACCTAGACGCCCTCAAAGTACTTAAACAAAACGAGAACGTGTTACTCTCTAGGCTGGATAAAGGAGCAGAGATCGTTGTGATGGGGAAATCCGACTATATCGATAAGAGTAATGTCATCCTTAGCAATCATTCGCAATTTTGAAGGATGGAGACAGAAAGACAAGACAGGTGCGATCGAGAAGACTGTCACCAAGTGGTTACGTTGTCTGAAACAAGAGGACACTATTGACTCCGCCGTGTAGGAATTCACGCGTCCCACATGGACACTAATCCCACGACTTCCTGGCTTACCGAAAGTGAATAAAGAAGGAATTCCAACTAGATTCATGTTGGACATGAGTAATTCTCCATATCACTCAACAGCGAAGTGGCTCTCTAGGCTTCTACAGCCGGTTAGGAAAGTCTTATCAAGACAGCCTCAGAGATACCTTCAGCTTCGTAGTTGGCCTTAGACATGTGGAGTTAACTGGGAGAAAGCTATTTTCTCTAGATGTTGTCTCACTCTTCACCAGTGTTCCATTAGAAGCGACGATAGACTACCTATGCAATAGTGTTCAACCGCATCATCTTAATTTCGGGCTTTCGAACCACCGATTTATACAGTTAATTTTCATGTGTACCAATAACATACATTTTCAACTTGATGCGAAGATTTACAAGCAGAAAGACGGACTCTCAACGGATTCATCTCTAGAACCGTTACTAGCTGATGTCTTTATGAGTAAGTTGGAAAACCTCTATCTGAGTGAGAGCTATCAATAACAGTCTACTACAGACGGTATATGGACGACGTATTCAGCATTGCAGCTAGCCACGTCTTCACGGCAGAACTAGTGACACACTTCAACTCAGCACACAATAAGATAAATTTCACTCTGGAATCTGAGCGCCACAACTCAGTGTCGTTCTTAGACGTCCAGATAAGCTGAAATCCTGATGGGTCGGCACAGCGCAGTGTCCATCGAAACTCAACGTGGTATGGGCAATATACTCATTTTGCCAGTTTTGTTCCGCTCATTCAGAAAAAAACTCGTTCAATGTCTAACCGAAACAACAGGAAAGATATGTAAACAGGACACGCTCTCGGAAGGGTTAAACTTTATCCGAAGCCTATTCGAGAAATGGCTGTCCGGAGAACTTCGTTCGGAGAAATATGGAGCCCAGAGAAACGAAGGCAAAGTCGCTTTCAGTATAAAGAAACCATTCAAGGGGGACGGGATAGCGGAATCCACGTCCAGAAATCTTTCCAAGGCCATCAGTCAAAATTTACTACGCGGCAAGCTTAAGGCCAAGCTTCGGTTCAGTACCAATTCTGATTCAATAACTTAAGGACAGGATCCCAAGGTCAAGTGCCTGTGTATACTCATTCTGTGTATATTCATTCTCTTGTTCGTGTCGATCAAGTTATATCGGAAGGACTACCAGGAGATTGTTCGAGACAGCCCGGGAGCATTGCCAAGCTTGTCTGTATAGCGGAGTGACTAAAACAGTGGCAAGCGCAGTAGCTGCGCATTTGGTTCATTCAAACCACCGGGTCAAAGCGCACGAAGCGTTGCATCTTATCTACCGCGTACCCACATGTCACACACGAAAGGTTAGAGATCACCTACTGGCAGCGGTCGAAGCAATCGCCATTCGCCTCCGTAACCCTGACCTATGTAAGCAAAAGAAACTTGTCCGCGCCTTAACCCTACCCTGACCCCCTGCAACGCTGACACATGGTGTGGATAACACCACACACACAACTGCTCGCTGTGGGACCAATCAGCTAGCTTGATCCCTCAGACCGTTACAAACATTTCATTAGTACCCTTACATGCTGTTTACGTTTATTCCATTCATTAGTGGTGTGGTAGCCTGATGATGAACCACTGAAAACGAGTTTGTTCACTAATCTTTGTTTTGATGTCTACTGTTGAGATATTTTATCAGTTTGAATAGCAAGAAGCGAGATCCTATATGGTTATTCGCAATTAGATCCCAAGCCACATAGGTAAGCTACCAATCCGGAAAAGCACCTATGCGACTTGGAATCTAATTGCGATAAACCAAATCGAATCATACTCAAGTTCATCAATTCATTTGTAATCAAAAATCGAAGCCCTATCAGTATTCAAAATTGCTGTATGGATTCATGGACTCAAGGGAAGACTTGACCGTGACGCCCAACCACTGTCCTCTGCACAGACAATAACCTGCACCGCAGTGGAGGATGGAGCGGGCTATATCGCAGTTAGGATTCATTTCGTATTGGTCGGCTGTCGTCCCCCATGGTTCAGTGGCATAAACTGCTGGCTAGTTGGCGTTAGACTCTAGCGGTCATGGGTTCGATCCCCAGTATGGGATCGATGCATGTGCACCACTGACGAGCCCTAACAGGGCGGAACGCCTGTCTGGTGCTTTTCCGGCTCGGTAGCTTACCTGTGCGGCTTGGAGTCTAATTGCGATGAACCGAATCGAATCATACCAACCCGTCTACTGATTAGTAATTATGCATCAAGATTAGCAAGATGGTTTTTAGAAGGTCTTCGATCGCTTGGATCATCACATCCTACTTCACAATATACAGTATGATGTCATCGGAGATCCCGTACTGGGCTGAATCTGTAGCCTTCTCCGCGAACGGCAACTGCATCTTAGAGTCCGAAGATATTTGTCCCATCCAATTCGAGTGCAGTGCGGCGTTCCGCATGCTTCCATACTTAGGTCTCACTTGTTTTTAGTTTTCTTTTACGATTTGGCGTAGACTGTCATCTCACAGACGTTAAGGTTTGGCGGTCTATCAAAGCATTGTACGGCCATTAGATTCTCCAGCATGAGCTCAACTTGGCTTGGAATGAATCGGTGAGTAACACGCTGTCCACGGTGCTCACATCCACCATCAAAACTCCCACATCTACAAAGTTCGGGCGCAAGATCTGAAGACCACTTCTCAGGAACCTGACGTCGATGTCCTGGTGCAGTACGATACCGGTTGTTCTCTGAGATCACTCGGGAATTTGATTCATTCATCTGCTCTTTGATGCGCAATGCCTACGTGTGTACCCACGTCGAAAACGTTATCCATGCTCGGCAGTCTTGGTTAAAATGTTACCTCGCATTGCTCAAGGCACCCAAAGTCAAGCAACAAATAATGGCAAAGGTTGGTGCCCCCTTCCATACCATCAAGAACTGAAGACATGTGAAGTGTTCGGTGGACGCTACCGGCAGATCTGTGGGGGCCTATTGTTAGGATACTAACTATTGAGCGACCCCGCTCATATATGCTGCCACCTTATGAAACTCAGGTTGAACGCTAATCTCAGAAAACGAGTAACTAATACAAGCGTTTTGATCCTCGACGAAGTTGTCTCTCCCTCCAAGTTTGCCAATCCTGGAACGCCCTTCCAAACTCAGTTGTTTATTGCCTTATTTTCAAAAAATGGTTAGAAATCCATTTGAGCTCCCTAGGCTTTGTCACATAAGCCAACATGCCGGGATATATTCAGGCTAACTAACCCCTTTGGAATTATAATCAACAGTGACGTACCTGAATCGGTGCAAACGGGTGAGCAACCTTATTGTTAATCGCTATAAGCATTAACAATAACAACTTGTTATTCCTTATGGCATGGTACTACCTCCCTTCCACAGCCCTATTTCTATGCCATTCTATTACTCAACCGCTGATCATTTTATTCGGTTCACTTATGGAGTATTCGAATTTACATCTCTCCTATTACCAAACTACGGGACATGTTACGTCTACTTTTTTGCCCCTCATAAAGCATTGTTCCAATGAACCGCAACAGCTGAGATATCGCTACCCGAATCCCTTTATGGTACTTTGGCTGTCCTGTGCATTATGAAAGGCTATTCGGCGAACGCGACTGATTTACCATCAGAAACATACTATCCATCTATAATCAACAATAGTATACTCCGAAGGATTCAACTCCAGATGTACTGTAAAACATGAAACATTCCGTTGGCACTTAGGGTTTATTGAACGTGTTCGCTTAAACCCGGTGGTTTTCCTTGATTTACGTCATTAGGTTTATAATGTCAGCATCAAACAGGCGTGCAAGCGTGCTCACTATGATAATTATGCACAGAGTACATTAGAATTAACCACTCCCTACCCCACTAAGCTGCACAATGCTGATTATTGTTGTAAAAGATTTTCCGGGAGCTGCGCAATACAGCCTAATTCGCCAACTTCTTCTGCGTTTCTTCTTGTAAAACCTCTATTTGTGCCCGTTAGAGGCTTTCATGCTATTTTATCTTTGACACGATTGATAACTTGACCTTTCCCGTTTTATTCTATAGTTCCTAACATATAGTATAGTAGCGCTGTAGTAATTTCTCCTGGAGTGTTTTAAGCACTGTGTAATCATGAAATTTTGTTTGCGACACAGGTCAAACACTATTTATTCGCGATATTTTCGTATTGTACGTGGAGTCGCGTCCTACTGATGACTAGTAAATGTGGACCCACATCAGAGTCATTCGGCTTACTTTCTGTTTTTTAATGCAGTTGTGTTGAACTCAGCTAGTTGGTTTTACTTGTGGTAGAAATTCTAAACTGAAAATGGTGTAAAATTAAGGAATCATCTTCAGTCTTTACATTGGAGGTTTTATCCCAAGTATGCTAAACAACAAAAAGGTATTCACAGGAGGGCATTGGTGCTTCGTAAGTTACGGACTAAGTAAGTGACTTGTCCTAATGGTGACTTGATCCAATCCACTGCTGCTCATTTGCCTTGTGGTTTTAAAAGTTGTCGCAATACCGGTTTCTCTTGTTTACTCCTTAGATAAACGATTTGAATGTGGATGGATGGACAAAGGAGGAGGTGGCTCTTGCAATGATTGCTGGCAATGAACCAATTGTTCTAACACTGGTACATGATCCCGCTACATACAACGCGGTACTACAATCCGAAGAGTTGTCGGAATCCTTGACTGTTCGTGCCTACTTTAATTTGCAACCCTCAAGTGCACAACAGCCGGCCAGTGGCAGATTGCAGTCCACCACAATTCTACCAGAACTGGCCATTTCCGAGGGAGACATCTTTCACGTCGTTGATACTTTTATTAATGGCGTTTTTGGAAACTGGAAAGTAAGTCAGATGAGGACGAATTGACTCTGATGATCTAGGTAGTCTCAAGGGTAACCTTAAAATTAGCAAAATAATTTATACCAAGGTAAACTCTGCCATCATCAGCAAGAACAGCGAAAAACGCATTAGGTCTTTCATCGAGTCATTAGGAATGCATGTATCTTAGACATTAGGAAGGCTCGAAGTCAAGACCCACAAGCTTGTGGGTGGTCTTCACAGTGACGGCAGATCCTAACAGCCGATTTAGACACCTGAGCAACTGTGACTCGGCGCGGCCAATTTCCCAGGGCGCTACATTTCACTAATGCCCTTTGAACGTTTTAATACTATTTCATGACCTGCGTATCCAACGAACTATAGCATTAAATATCAAGGTCAGAAGATTCTTGGTATGCCAGAGTACTTGGTGATCGAAAGAGTCAAAGAACTACTGGCTAAAGGGGTTCCAGATGAACTTATAAAGGGCATATCGCTGATTTCTGTAACAGACTATCGCAAAGTAACATCTGCAGTGACCTACCTAAAGGGGAAATGTGTGTGGAAATCGGGTTTGTTGCGCTGAACCCATTTTTTACGTCACAACTTGTTCGTCTTCTCAGTCCTCGTCAACCACCCTTGAGCCCTTTTCGGGCTCACTGTGCCGATTCAATATCTCAACAAGCTGATGGTTGACTCTGTCTCTTATCCTAGATAGTGAGAGTGTCCCGAATTCTGCGGTATGTAAGTACCATGAATAAGTGAACACCGCCAAAAGCTATCGTCATCTACCAGGTTGCTGTAGGCTAGTACCAGTTTTCACAGCGGTAAAATGTGGTGTTTGGAATGATTCCGGTGTGAAGGGCGCATTCTGCACAGAACACGGTAATAGACAGCATGCAATTGGCAAGGCACCAACCTTGCGTTGCACAGGAAGCAATAAGGGGTTGGGCAGGCTTAGCCCGTTCATTGATTATGGCGGTCACAACAAATGCTACTGTCACAGTCACGACTACCAAGTTATTGTTCCAGTAAAGAAGACAGCTCTACAGATGGTAGCTGTACTCTACTAGAACTGTTGTCTATGGCTAAATCTACTCGTATGCTCTACTATCTCTATTTTTATCACTTTTACTTTATGGAACACCTCAAAACGTTCTCTTTGAACTGCTTTGTTAAGCTCAAAAGCTTTCTCTACCATTTGATCAGGATATACATAATGATCAGACCACGTGTTTGGCCAGTTTCTCTTACCGTCTAGAAATATACCATTTACTTATTCATTTATTCGGAAGATGCCAGCTTTCAACCTGCAAAGAACAACGAAGTGACCAATGAAGCCAAGCTTTTGGTACTGTTAAGATGCCATTTTAAACACCGAAATCAACCAACCAGCGGCCTAAACATTCTGGAATGGTGGCCAGCATGCTTCTGAATCCCTGAAAAGTATAGACTTGGGTAGTTAGACATCCCATCACTGAACGTGAAGGCGCCGCAGCTTTCAATGTGACCCAACGCTGGGTTTCTTTTCGCATTACCTGTTGTACGTTTGGATCATGACAAGCAATCGCAACTGGGACTGCACACAGCTTCGGCCTTTTGAACTTGCTCGTTTGACGTCTGCGTTGAAGGGTTTTCGGTTTAGCTCGCTCCTAATACTACACTCCAAGACCATTTTCTTCCTTGTTTGGGCCATTCAGGCAGAGTTAGTCGGAGCTCAGTGTATGACCCCAGGCGCAGTGATTGACGGCTGCTATTGGTTCGGATAGGCAAACGAGGTCCGTGGGCAACGCGCAGGTGAACATGTCTCACTCTTCTGGGGGTGCACAATAACACCATGAAATTAACAGCAATGAACGGAGTGACTTTATTTTTGACGGCAGTAGTTGCGCCATGTAAAAAGATAGCACTCTGCATGTACAGAAAGTAGGCTGCAAGGACGTGTTGTGCAAAGCTAGTTCAGCTATGTTTGTATTGACGAAAACCGTTCCGCCTGCTACTTGAACCCGTTACGAAATGTTACATATATATATATATATATATATATATATGTGTATATATACATATATATACATATATATATCGATGGTGCACTCACCCATAGAAGAGGAGTCCAACTTAAGTATTACTCCTCGCAATCGGTTGATTTACATGCTAACCCAGTGCACTCATATACAGTATACTATTATTCGATATCAATACCACATTTAATTATTACATTATACTAACCGATACATAGTTCCTACGTAAGAGCTATCAAGCCAATTGGGCTATAGAAAACTATTAAGCTTTTCGATCAAGGTAAACTGCGGTAAACCCATCCTAGCTAACTGCGCAACTCAGTCGTGGTTCTAAGCGAACCCTTACGGTTTCAAGTGAAGTTAGACAAAAAATCCAGAAAATTTCAGCAAGGAATGCAAACCAAGTATTGCCGCGCAGCATAAAAACGAACTTTTCTTCCTAAACTATAGTACCTATTGGTATTCCAGACCCACCTCAGCTTTGGTACCATGGGAATCCAATGGACCAAAAGAATTATGAAAAAATGATGGCCGGGGGAAATCCACACAGAGCGCACAGCAAATGTTCTCACTCCGATGTCAGTCTCCTCTCATAAATGAAATGAAGCGCACTATAATTTTACAAAACCTTCCAAATATGATAACGGCGAATTTCGGTATATTACCGAATATAAGCCCGCCAATAAATCAGCAGACAGTATAAATTTCCAACATCAAAATTGCCTAGTCAAAAGTCCCTGTATTAGCTGACCCACAAAAAATTAACCAAGAAAGAAATTGTCTGTCCCTTTAGTTCAAAGTCAACACAACTTGCTCTCTCTTAAAAAAGTCCAACCACATGTGTTATAATAACGCTTACATGAGCGCAGGGTCGTTATAACAGACCTTCACCCCAGGGATAGTGTATTGACTACAGTTAGTTACAAAAACTTGCCAAATTTAGTCTGTTACCCGCGTCCAAGGTTCACAAATTCAGGAGAGAGGAGAGCGCACTAAATTGCCAACTATCCAATAGAATAGGTAGGAATTCGTCACATCCAACTCCCCCTACTACTCTTCTGTATCCAATAGTAGATGTTGGTCTATCACAGATTGTCGCTCACACGGTCACAATGGTATGAACGACCGGAGTGATGGCCGTATGCATGCATCTGGGTGCAGGTGTACTTGCCAGTCTCGTCCATCGTGAAAACGCTGGTTGGGTGCGGATGGTTGAGTTGAAATCAACTACGGCACCCCACAGGGCAAGTTCACCGATCGATACATACCGTGTGTCGGGCTGGTTGGGACGAATGCAGGCGTGCAAATTCAAGAGAGCAGTACATCATTACCGGGCTACTGCGGTAGAATTGTGGTGGCGCTTGGACAGACCTAACTGACCTGAGCAGAGTGTACAATAGGCGCTTAGTGTTACCCCAGCTAATGACAAAAGAGTTATTGGCAACGTTCTTGTAGACTGAAAGCTAGCTTCCAACAACCCAGCGTAGCAAAATAGGCATTCCTTACAATTAGGCTTTGCAAATCCGAAAGGTAACGTTTCGAGAGGTCTTGAAAAGCTATGCTGCCTACAGACTACTCGGTGCCGCGTGGCGTATTATTCCGTCACAGTCTTGAGCGTTCATTCCAACATATTCACTGATGAGGCAATATTCCCTTTGCATGGAACTGAGAAGCTGCATTTCTAGGCAATACACAATCCTCGCGGATACTGAGATTCACGTAGTTCACAAACTGCGAAGCTCATTGGCTCGCAAAACTAATTGACAAATTATGGGACCTTAACACACGCATGTGGGTTCTCACGCATACAGTTGTGCGGATCCTTGGATACTAGTCGGGAAGCAATGACACGTAAGACGTGTCAACTACGAGACAGTATAGAAGTCGGAGGCGACTAAACCCAACGTATAATGTGCAAGATACCAAAATAGGAAGCGAATTAGCCAGAGCGAGCAACGGTGCAGCAACGTACTCATCAAAACGCCTTATGTCAACGGATGTGCAGTCAGCAAAACAAGTGGACGTTCCGAATGTTAAAGCAACCGTAAAACCCAATGTTGAAAAATACTGAAAGGGCGTATTTTCTGGTGCACTATAAAGGCCTCCCCCTAGAAGGCTGAAGGATGGAAGCGTTCCATGGAGCTGTTAGTGGGGAATAATAGAAGGTGAGGGTGGGTGCGAATAGTTGCATTGGCTTGAGTAAGGGCTTCCGAAGTGGGATGTGTAGCAGAGTTCGCTGGGTCCAGGCTTAAGTTAGTTGTTATTTACGATGATCGTGTGAACCAGAGTACATCATCGGTGGGCCGTCGCGGCGGGCTGGTCGGACTGCAAAAAGCTGACTAATCCAGAAAAAAGGCCGACAGGACCATCCCTTTGCTGCAGACCCGACGGTGCGCTTGGGAGGTGTCACTCCCTCCACCGTACTCCAGTCCACGGTCCTTGTGCCACGAAGAAATCCAGGCCTCCTCTATCCACGAAGAAATCTGGCATCCTCGTGGGCAACACCTAGCCAGTCGTTTGAGGACCAACCCATTGGTGACTTTAAGCGGTCGAGGGCGACTGACTATTCCTTGGGTCAGGAAGGGGAACCTTGGGTCGGCTGCGTAGTCACTTGGGGGTGGCGTTGAGCCGGTTTGCGAGTCACAGGAGGGTTGCCTTGGCAGTTCCAGCGGTTGAGCTTCTGGAAGGTATAACTCAGAGGGTGTGGGCAAGGGTCCGTGGAAGTGGCTTGACGCCGGAGAGGGTACATGGTATGCATGATAAAAGCAAATACGCTTTTTAAGTTTTCAAAATGTTTTGGGTTTTTTTGTCGATTTTGCAAAACGTTTATGAAAAAGACGCATGATGACCATTAAAGTCGAAAAAGGCATGTTAATGGAAATAGCAAACATTTGGAAATCTAAAAATGGACCGGAGGTTTGACCTGTCTACCGCGTCGGTCGGTTGCCTGGGGTTAAGGAGCAGTAGGTTGTGGATCAAGAGGAACGGAGGGTTTCGCGCTGT